GAGAGAGTGCACCCCCGATTCACTTTGTTCGACAAAGGGGCTGATCCTGTCACTATGATCACCCACTCAGATGAATTCTCAGACTGTCCCAACATACCTAGGTTTTGACCCCCTCTAAGGATCTCACTGATTGGCATATCAAAGACAACCCAATCTGACACTTGGTGCAGTACCATAATTGACTCTAGGGGTCAGGTGTAACATTCCAGTTTTGCCCATCTATCTCCAAGGTCCAGGGCAATACTAGAATTTCGGTCAGGTTCAGGGCTTCAAGAAAACCCACACTACATGTACCTCAGGTCTCACCCTGGCAGCTGAGACAAGCCACCCCAACCAACTTGGCGGTATATCAGTGTCAGCCTTGGCAGGATAAATCTCCCAGATCTATCCAACGGCTGTGAAGATTCTAAACTAACACGAGTCTCATAAGTGTCCAGTTTAAGGGTATTACACAGAAACACACCACAATGACATGAATCAATTATGTATTTTATTCATTTACAATAAATGTCAATAGGTACTTCAATCTAATTGGAGCTAAGGGCATATCTGTCTAACATCTCCATCCCTTTATTTGGCCCTCCTCATCTGCTTTGGAGATCATTCTATTGAAGACATCAACAACAAGAGTAAAGAGGAAAGGGGAAAGTGGATCACCTTGTCTTAAACCTCTATTGGCTGGAAAGAAGTTCTTAACAACCCCATTCACCAAAACAGAATAATGACAAGAATTTAAACATCCTCTTATCCAATTACACCATTTATCCCCAAATCCACGTCTTCTTGACATCTCCAGCAGGAAACTCCAATCCACTAAATCATAGGCCTTCTCCAAGTCTAGTTTATAGACAAATCCTTTTCTACCCGATCTCCTCATCTCTTCCACACTCTCATTTGCAATAAGGATCTGATCCGTAATTTATCTATCCTGTATAAAGACTCCTTGTGCTTGGCTAATGAGAGAAGGTAGAACTGCTTTGATCCTCCTAGAGAGCACTTTTGCCAGAATCTTATGGATGCTTGTCACCAGGCTGATTAGCTGAAAATCTTTGGGGTGTTTGGCATCAGTCTTTTTAGGAATTAAGTTTAGAAAGGTGGCATTGATTTCAGGACTCACAACATGTTTGTCCTCAAATTCTCTAAAGGCTCCAATTAAATCTTCTTTGACTATGTCCCAACAATCCTGAAAAAAGCCATTGTAAATCTGTCTGGACCTGGTGCCTTAGCCCTATCCATAGAAAAGATAGCTTGTTTAATTTCCTCTTCCTCAATCATTCTTTCTAGCCATACCCTATCTGTTTGGTTCAAAGTTGGCCAATTCTCCTCCCCCACTATTAACCGATTCTCTAAAGGTCTCTAAAAGATTGATTTGAAATGATCCACAATCCTACTAGCAATCTCCTCTTGAGAGGTTATCTCCACACCATCAACCTCCAGCTTTAGTATCAAATTT